ATTTTAACGTACGGTATTGCGGTATCATCTAGCTCTGCGGTATGCGGTTTTTCATCATTTTGGCTGACGGTATTCGGTAAAATAAGATTGTTCACGGTATTACGGTACCGTTTATTTGCGCCTTCCTTTCGATACCATATTCACAACAAAACACAGTAGGACATAAAGGTCAACAAAAGTCAATATTTAGAAGTCTTGAGACATAACGGTAAATGATTAAACCATTGTTGGTTGTTTTGTGACAGTTAATGGTCGATAATATACAATGCGATTGTTGTTGCATCCAACGACAATGAGTCGCCTCAAGTTACCTTACCAGGCTTTTCGATCTTTGTACGTGTGCCAGTCTGCTACACAGCCGTTTTTAGTGTCGTCACGCAACGCTCCTCCCCACTAAAAACGGCTGTGTAGCAGACTACCTGTGCCGGCAATTCGAGGTCTTACACGTTTTCCCACAATGGCTGAGGTCGCTGAGACGGTGAAAACGGCGTGGTCATCATTGACTGTGTGGCAATTTTTTATGAAGAGGGCGAAGGAGGCGAGCATTATCGCAACAAGAGTAAGTTTAGATGTTGGGTTTCGAGAATTGAAAAACGTCTTATAAAGTTAAAAAAGAAAATCTGGTAAGGTTGCTCCTTACCAGCGCGGCGTGTGAGACTGTCGAGATAGTTGACCCCTGAGATACTCACGTACTAGACTATAGACTCATCCAAACTCGCACTCGACGTGCGTGGAAAGGGTTTTGGTTGGTTTGTTTGTTTGTTTTCGCGCTTTCAAGAGTTATTTTTATTGGAGTTAGTTAGCTGTTGGGTCGACCTACCAAAAGGTCCTTTTTAGTGAAAATTTGCCAACTACCAAAATATTAAAAAAAATATGGACATCTGGTGCACAAATGCCTGAGATAATTAAACGCGCTAGATGTAAGCACCCATAAGTATGCGGAACCGATTATGAATGTGATTAAATTATGCGGTATCGGTATTAAGACGATTTTCGACGCGGTATTTCGGTATTTGCCATTTTTTATTGCGGTATTGGGTACCCCCCAATGTCCCCTTCAGCGTGGAACGATTTTTTCATATCTTTCACTGTCGCTCATTTTCGCCTGGCTGGCCTCTAGCATTTTTCATTTTCTCACCGCCGCTTTGAATTTCCATGTTTTTCTTCCTACGAAATTCGTCTCTTTTGTTTTCAATAACTCGCTCTAGGTCTTTCTCTGTTATCCACGTTTGTGTAAACATAAAAAATAACGCCGAAAAAGACATGACTTTGTTGTTGTTTTTTTCTCTCTTAAAGTCCGGGCGGCCATGTGATTTCCTTCCAAATAAAACCTTGAGTTGCATTTGGGTTGCCATACCTGTTGATTGAGTTATTTTACATTGGTATGCCTGTGGTGTGGACGGACGGTCGGTGTACGGTCACGTGATTACCGAATTTCCTCGGATGGGTAGTTTACCACATTTCCTTAGCTATGGGGCTCCGTCCACGTGCAGCGCAAAGCGCCGCGTGTGGAACTCCGCTATAACATTTCTTGGTAGTTGTGTGTGTTCACTATTCTGTGAGCCACTGCAGTTTACATCAGGAATTCCAAGGAAAAATGCCAGCTTTTTACATACTAAACAATGTCCATTATGGCTCCACGTCTCCACTTTCACCCATTTCAACCAACCCTGAACAATTAGCAACAATGCAACAGTCACACTTGCCTGGCACCAAAAATCCTCACATAGGCGTGATACCACCATAGCCAAGTATACGCTCCTATAGTGTCTTGTTCAGTCAACAATTGGAATATTTTGGCTTTGTATCCATGTAGTCAATTTCAAGAGCATTCGTCCTTCCTGGACATACATGTGGCCCATTTAGTATAAATAAGGATAATTAAAAGAACTGAGGCATGTATAAGGTACATGACCTATTTGGAATGTCTATAGATTATTGATTACAAAATTATACACTTAAGTTCATTAGGATGCCACATGTTATTCAGCTTGCAATAGTAATTTATCCTCACTGCGTATCTATTGTCGCATCGCAGCAAACTAAGTTATGGGACGAATCCATGACTGCCATGGTCATGTGGTCACTGCCACCAGGGGAGGTGGGAGGGGCAAAAAGCGTCTCCTTAAGGTAATTCTGTCAAACTGCGAGATTTCACGCAAAGGATCGTAAGTTACCCCAATTGTCAACAACTCTTGGGATTAAAAGAATGCAGGCATGTTTGTGAGATATGCTCATTATATATGCTGTGAGAAAAGTAATTTATCCTCACTGCTTATCTATTGTGGCGTCAAGGCAAACTAAGTTATGGAATGAATCTGCTTCTGACCCACCACAATCGCTATGCTATGCCAGCAGCACAAGAAACTGCGACTGAACCACACAGCCAGAAAAATGCCACACAACAGCTAAAAATGCCAAACTACTATATTCCACAATCGCTGATCCTTAAGCCTCAAAACCTGGTTACAAGAGAGCCACCCTAAATCCGAAGCTTTGTCTCCAGTAAAAAAATCCACAACAAAGAAGGTGCGGTCCCTAACAAGGATGCAGATATTGACAATGGAGAGTGACGTGTTGGCTGCTATTTTCCCCCTAAAGTGAAAGAGGAGCCTCTTAAACTTTAAGAAGAGCAGAGGAACCGCCTGCTATGGGGTATCGCGGAATCTGCCTGCTCTTTCCTAGTAAATTTCAGATATTCTTTCACCAGCGAATGCGAGAGAGGGTTTGTAAAATTGATGCAGCCCATCCGATTATAAATAGCGTGCAGCTTCCCAATGAGGGAGTCAACAGAACCGGCTGCCAATCAGGAGGGGCACTGACACAATTTCCTATTACATGTCTGCGAGTGAACGACTGTTCTGCCTGCCCTATCTCTACTAAAAGGAAATTTAACAATATCCTCGGATGAACCTGAGGTATGGACTTCAGGGTGGTAAGGGCGATGAGGAAACTAATCAATTGTCCCTCCAGGGTGGACTTCTGTCTCTGATAGGGTTTTTCACTGGACAAGGACCTAACTCCACAAAGTGGTTATTAATGGCTGTCATGTCTAGGTCAGGCTGGGAGATTGAAGGAACAGGGGTTCCTGTTGAAGCGCCACATACTTGACAAAAATTGGCATTGCGGTTATTTGGGTATAGGCACGCAGCACACCGTTGGACTGCCTTCCAGGGGCACAAAACGTACAGAACGTAAACCAAAAATTCAACAAATGCAGCGAAACGCCCAAAGGTCACATTGTAATGGCTTGGGTAGCCATTTCAGAGTTGCACCCGGTGGGAAAAGCAAGACCGAGGTATCACTCTTTTCCCTAGCAAAAACTGATCAATGCTCGCAGCTTGCAGCAGCACCCGCCAGAACCGTCGGGGCTGAATATCCGGCACAATTATTGTAAAGGGGGGTGATAATGCTGGTCTATGAAAAATGGAGGAGCAGACCGATGAGCAGGAAAGGCGGAAAAACATAGATATTCTCCCCAAGAGGCAACTGCTGAGCAAACATGCAGATGCTGGAAGATGCAGGGGTCTGGCATAGCGAGAAATGCGGAAGGAGACAGCCAAGCTGATCAGTGTGGCAATTACTATCGAGCTACATGAGATCAAATGCATGCAGTCCAAACATCCTTTGGACAAGGATCATGCTCCCTGCTCCATGGCCAGGCTGAAGGACAGGGCCTTCCCAGCAAAATGCTGGAGGGTCTTCAGCATAACCGCCTTGGAGGTAAGAATATCCTCTCTTAGTGCCTTGAACTTGACTTCTTCCCCCCCCCGGTAGTAAGAAAACCTGCCGGACAGAATCACAGATAAACCCAAGGAAGGTGATGAACGTGGAAGGAGAAAACGGACACTTGCTTAGACTGATAAAATATCCGGCCTCATTAATGATAGCCATAAAGGCGACAAAGAACTGGCGCAAAAATTGTCCGGGTTTTGAAATCGAAGATCACGCAAAACTCTAAGAGCCAGATTTTGTGCCACCATAGAAGGAGAAGCCAAGGGGCCGATGAAAGGCCAGCTTCCATTGATATTGCTACACCAAGCACAGATCGCCTCCCTTGCGGGCCCTAATTGCCTTGTCCAATTTTCTCCTAAACGTAAAATGGTTTACCGAAGAGGCAAGGCAAAAACGAAAGGGGATAAGTGACAAGGTTACAAAAAGAAAAAAGAGGGATGCCAACCCTTCGTTGACCCCACGCTCGGAACCAGGTCCAGAAATGAGGTGCTGAGGAGGTCCTCCCAAGTTCAATGAGGGTAGAGTGTTAAGACTCCCCCCCCACACACACACACACACACACACACACACACACAGGTACACTATTTGCGGTCAACAGTAAGTAGAAATAAATAGAATTAGGGGACACTTGAAACCTCATCAAGATTTACTGAAGAAAATGTTTAATTAATCCTACCAATGTTACAACTTCAATACACTACAACCAAAATGTATGGGAAAGGTGCAAATATTAAAAGACACGCCATTACACAAGGTAGGAACCCAACAAGCACAACAACAAACATAATGCTAAGTGTGAACAGGGGGCTAACTCTTCCCTCCCCTGAAACTGCCATGGGAAGCATGATAAGTACACTGTGAGGTGCGCCGGTTGTAAAGACACTCACACCAAGGGGCCAAAGCGATTCCAATTTAAACACCGAATGTTCCCATAACGTCCTTGGATGAGTGTAACGGAGATTTGCATGCGATGGGGCAGCCAACAAGGCCTTAGAAGAAGATTTGAGGATGGAAGCGGCTTCTTTTTCCACCTTCACCCAAACTGGGTCACCCAGTAGACCAATAAGAAGTCTCTGTAATGACTCCTTGTCCAACTGGTCCGTTCTGGCCCTAACTTCATCAAAAGCCGCCGTGTATTCCTCCACCTTCTAGTGCGCTTCATTTCTGGAGGGGCGGACCAAGGATTGCTGTAGTTCAACAGCGGCATAACAATCAAACATGCTCAGAGGGTGGTTAAGGTGCGAAGAGCAACTAAAGCATCCTCTGTACTTCTATGCTCCTTCTCATTCTCCAAAGTCTTTAATTTTCTCTCGAGCACCTGAATACTGCCAAGCAGCTAAAAACGGGAGTAAATATTACAAAATGAGAGTCCAACCTCTGGTAAGCACTACAGCAGACCTGCGCCTGTAAATTCAGGACATTCCAAACAACCCCTCCATTCATGGGACACAGTTACTAAAGCTAACACACCATCTCCTGAAATCGTCTTGTGTCCCGTTGTTGACCCGGTTTTGTCTATTCCATCACCTTAATCATTTTCATTTTTTTTCACACCTCTTTCCCTTCCTCTTTGTTTTGTAACCCTCTACCAGAGTAGAGTTTATGCATCATTTTCTCACTTTTTAAATTTTCCTGACACAGCCCTAAAATTTGGCACGTACTGTTTTCAATCAAACCTTGCCAACGTAGCAATTACTCAATTTTAGGTAGATGATACGAAATTTTTTTACAATTTTGAAAAAACCAATGGTTTGATAGGTCTTCGAAAAAAAGGAAAATTGCTACTAAAGACCGAGCAAATTCGTAGTATTTTCATTTTTACCAGACCATTAATTTACGAATCTTTCTTGTTGTTAGCTACATCTTTAACAAGACTTGAAACATGAAGATTTTTTGGAAGTGCCCGCAATAGTTTTTAGTTAAAATTCTCTTTGGGGGGGTATTTTCCAAGGATTGTTGTTTGTAACTGGCTTCGCATAATGGTTTACCGACTTTTTACCTGTTGTGAGCTGTTTTTTTAACATTTGAAGCATTTACCGCCTAAAGTTTCATTCGCAGCAAATAGCCATTTGGGTCGCCAGTACCCTTTTACCCTTTGTTGAGGAAAATGTACTTTTCATTGTGAAAAACACATTTCAGACAAAACGTCGATCACGAAGGATATTCCCCATAGCTGTATTTTCCTTTTGTTTATCTCATATGTTTATTACACACGTTGTCACTGACATTTTTGTTCTTTATTATTCATTTTTATTTTACTATGCAATTTTTATGGGCATGGATTAGTCGTACTGAGACAGTGAGAGTTACTTTTTCGCAATATTCACCTGCGTGCAAAAAGGAACCTGCGGATAGCCATCCAAACTTTTGTTTTTTAGCAAATGGCCCTTTTTTCTGCCCGCACGCGCAGGATCAGTGTGTCATTCTGAAGAGAACGCATTTTGCAGTGCCACCACTAAACACGCTGTCAGATAAAAATAATTTTAACTTTTTACTATCTAATTTGCTCCATGACTGAAATCACAAGAGTTTTACATTAATTTACTTTTTAATATAAAACATTGTTTTCGGTCGTGTGATAAATCCTACCAAATCTGCCCAAGCCTTGCAGGGCTGTCAATAAGGACCATTAGCTAGCCAAAACCGCCGGCTAGATAGCCATCCTTAGCCGGCTTCTTTCATCTCCTTCTACCATAACTGCTAACAAAAAATAAGCACCTTCGAATAAAATTGTAAAGCATGTGTTTCCCAGTTTTGAATGACATTGAATGTGTATTTAAACAGGTTTAGATCTATGAAACATTCAAGCAGTGCGATGTCGTGGAACACCTGGGATATTTTGACAGCATTGTTCCCAGTCTTGTGTGTATTCTGACGAAACAACATGGTGTCCACGGTGGAAAAAACCTCTTGAAAACCTGGAAACTCTATTTCCGAGACTCTAGATTTCAAAATGTCCCCAGACTCCTCGACCCTCAAGAACTTGTGCCTTTGGTGCGAGTTCCAAAGCCACCTACTATTCATTATCAGCCTGCTCCTTAAGAGCGGTTTTCTGTAAGGACCGACTAAGGGTATGCAAGATAGAAAAATCCGATTTTCCCAAACTTTGCCAGAAAGAAGGCCTTGATGAACTGTTTCTGAAAATATAAGTTTCGGGTCGTTTGGGGTTTTACTTATTTTTTAGTGAATTTTTTAAATTTTGACCGTTAACGCCGGCTTTAATCACCCCGAAATATGCACTTTTGAAGAAGCTCCCATTAATACCTTGAAACCTTTCATAAAAAGATTAACCAAGCAAATCAAACTATCGTCTTTTCTCAGATTATCGGTGTCGTCAAATGCAAATAAAATGTAAACGTGAAAATTTGACAGATTTTCTAATTTTACACCTTTCAATGGTGATTACAACAACAGTATTTTGGCTAAATTCAAGGCCTAAAAAAGCACTCTGGTACATCGCTTTGACCAACAAAACTATACTACGAGGAAATATTATCATTTACACTAAACATCGATGAAAAAAAAAATTGGGGTAAATGAAACGGCGAGTTCTGAGAGCGTTTTCAAAATGGGTTACCTGGGCCATTTTTGAGCGAATTTTTGAACTTGGAACGGTTCCAAATTAGTGGAAATAGAAACCCAGAGCTCTTTAACTCCGATTTTCCTTTGCATGATGAAGCCTGTTTCCTCATTTCTAGCATATTACCAATTAAGGATACTAGTCTTTTCAATTTCTGGTACTGTATTCCCTAAAAAAGAGAATTTGGAAAGTCAAAATATGAGTTTGCTCAGGCGTTTGCGGTTTGTTTACCAGTGAAGTAGAAATCGATTGTCTTTGTACTTACAACACAAATAGGTGATCAGCTACAAGGTTAATCAATTCACCAATTGCTTATAAAATACTTCCTACCTTACAGATCTTTTCCTGGATCGAAACCACAGCACTCATTAGATAAGTACGAAGAGATCATCGAACTCGCGCGCTAACACAATTTGCATAAAAACAACTGACCATGAAACGCCACAGTACACCCAGTCAAGTGTATTCCGGAACCGCAAGTCTCATTATATTTTTAGCAATATTGCGTGTTTTGTACTATACTGACAAAAGGCACGGGATATTTCTATAATAGATACTTAAGTGTTAGGATAATTCCTAAATAATCGTACTTACCCTGAATAGTGCTGGGTAAAGTCTCTGAGACTCAAGGTAAAAACGACGCGCAGGAATAACGGACCCCGGGGGTACTCCCTTATATGTGCCGCTGGACCGGGTATGGTTTTTGAACTCTCTGTTCTAAACAGGGTATATCATAAACAGAGTATGTATTTTGCAATTTGTTTCTCCTAAACAGGGTCAGGGTTTCAAATCCTCAGCGGCTCACATATACCCTAGTATTGGTCGAGTAACCCCCGGGTTACGGACCCACAAAGACAAATTAAACAAAACTTGTATGGATCGATTCCTTTCTTTCGTTGTCAGCAAAATCCTGTAAGAATTAAGGGAAAATCTAACATCGGGTAGATGAGCGCAGATTTAGGAAGCGCTCGTTAAATTAACAATGTTTCTCTCACATCTGCTCTTAGTCTTATACGATCATAACGCTTCCCGTTAATTCTACGTATAAACATCGTCAGTTTAAGTGATTATAATACGAGTCAAGTTATCGCTTTGCTTAGAAGTAGTAATTGTAATAATACAATTATTTTCGAACAAAACAATAGATTTTAAGATCCGACGACACGGTCCGCGGAGCGAAGGGGGGAGGGGGGATTGCGCAAAATTAGGAATGCGCAAAAGTATGAGGTCACCAGTAGGTACAAGTTTAGAAAGAGGTCAGCGTGTACATAAAAAAACTGGAACTGAAGCTTTTTTATACGTGATGAATCTGACCAGCTAAAATAAACTAGGTGGGACATTTTTTTTCCAACCATCTCGAAAAACGAGATGCGGCCCCTCCTGACAACTGTTATCCAAACTGTTAACAGTAATTTGACTCTTAGGCGTTACAGCCGCACCCTTTTACTAGATCCCCTAACGCGGCAAGGTACTCTGCCTTGCGCCTTGGGTTAAATTCTTCCGTGCAGATATCAAAATACTCGCATATGTTCTTCAGCATTGCAATGCTGAGTGTTTTCATGTTACCTTTCTTGGTCAATTCGCAAAGGTTTAGGTTGTCATAAGCGATGGGATGTTCTAGCTGTACTTCCTCTAACACAGCCTGGCGGGTGTCGCAAAACTCTTGTTCATCCTGAGAAGCTTGTAAATCTGAGTCGCTAACCTCTACAGCGTGACGCAACTTGCACGATAATCTTGAAAAGAAAGACTGTATCTGCTGCGAGGTAAGAAACTCATCACTCGAAAACAGCCTCGAACCATCTGTTTTTTTCGCAAAACGCATATCTCTCGCCACTTTCTCAGGGTTTTGTTTGTGGCCTGTTTGCTGTCCAAGCTCAAATTTTTCCTCCAGGTACTTTCTTTGTGATTCGTTAAACCGTGACGACTTCTTTGCAGTTTTCAATGCCCAACCCTCAGGTAAACTGACACCGTGCTTCTTCTCCGTTTCCCTTCCTTCAAATACTTTTGCAATGCCAATATCGTCCTGAAGGATAGCGTGGTACGTTAATTTAGCCCTGTCCAACAAAGTCTCTTTCTCCGGAATCAACTCGCATTTGCCAAACGACATATGCCTTTCGAGACTCGAGTATCTCTCGTATACCTTGATGCAACCTTCATTTGGGCAGGAGAACAAGACACAAGAGTCTTTCGTTTCTTCTACTGCCATCGTTTCATTGGGTCTTGGTTTCTTTGAGGCTTCCTTGGATGCTTTTACAAAGTCACCAGGGGAAAATCGGCAAGTAAATTTGCAGCTTTGTAAGACATCAGCAACTAAAAAAGCGAACATTGAAATGGAAGTCTTTTTTAATTTCAGATGAAACGTTTTTCGCGTCTTTTAAAGGTTTGTTAATTTATCATGTACACAACTGACTGAGTTGTCTATAGTAGCCATTAGTATAGACTCTCTTATACTCTGTTAATATTGCCCGTTATCCGTAATTATTAGCTGACTAAGTCAGTGAGTATTTGCAACACTCCAATACAGTACATTTATATATCACTATGCCCGTATATTTTTTTTACCTTGAACTTTCGTTTGGCTGATCTCCCTTCCATTTCCGACGTTGAAAGCTCTCCAAACTGTCAACTTGTCTTTGCAGTACTCAAAGTTGTTTAATGTGCTGATACCATCGAGTTTTACTTGAGGCAGTTCACAGGCGGAAACGGCAGCATTAACAACAGTAACGCGAACCCCGGTGACACCTCCATTAGACAGGATAGCTGTCTGAAGCTGTTCAGCATTTTGCACGTCGTGGCCCTCATTTACATACCTGCGGACATGGGCCTTGATAGTCGCGGCTTTTCGGTCACAAGCCCCCTTGCCTCCTTGAGGGTCACTGAAATCTACTCTGCAAACGTCTATCCCAGTGTTTGCCTTCATTAGGGTGCATGATGCTATTACAGCAGAACTGTGATAACATCCCGCGTTATCTTGCCGTAGAAATGCTCTGTTGATTCTAGGATTCTCCTCTTTCAGCGACCTTAAGGTGTGCTCAATAATTCGCACTACAACTGAGCTGTCTTGTGATGTATTCTCAACTATGTGGACGAAGGACTGACTTTCTAAAAGCCCTCTCATTTTTCTTGCGATGACACTTATATGCCACGATATTCCTCGTTTCCCGTACCAATCTGATTGGTTTTCTCTATATTTGAGCGGTAAAAACTTCATAGCCCAATCTTGTGTTATGAGTACAGAGGTCTCATCTAAAGCGCTCAAGCACGCCGTCCTTGCTGTATCTTGCCTGACACACCTGAGTTGATGTGCTTTCCAGGAGTGGATTGCCTGGACTGCATGACTATGCGTGTACAAGACGTCTTCTAGTTCTTCAGGTACAAACGTTGACTCAGTCAAGAATGTTTTAATTGAAAAAAGAACATTACTGAGACTTTCACACTGTGAACACTGAATGTCATGATTATGAGAGCATTGGGATCTTAGTTCATCGTCCTTACTATCGCTGAGAGCGTATCCGCTGCAATGGTCTGCAACCGAGGAGGACTCGGATACATGAACCTTCAAAAAAGACAAAGTAGTAAATTTAGTGACCGTTTGAAGTTTCTGAGCTTTCATCTATTGTACGCGCAATATTTTTGCCAAGTTTGGTTAAAGCAATTAGAAAATATGAATCTTTGGCAGAATAAAGTACACACCTAGCAAGGCGAAGACGGTCGCCAGTATAGAGAACGGTGTTCTCTTGCCCAACAATTGTATAATTAGTTTGGAAAAGAACCCACCGGATTTAATTAAGCCCTCACGACAAAGTTAACAGATTTTGCCATTTTGCCAGTCTCGTGGCAGTTCGTTATATATTCCGGTTTACTTTCAGTTAACCATGTTTTAAACCGTATCTGATACCTTATAATCAGCCTTCAGATACTGCTTGCCTTCCCTCAGAGACACTTTCCATTTTTTGGCAGTCTCTCTGTCCAGACCTCTCTCTTTAAGTTGGTCCACTATTCCACACAAAGCTTCAAACCCTTTCGCGCCATCCGAAGCAATGTAGTCGAGCCCTTGCAAGGACTTCCTTACGGTCGCCCCGCAGGCAGACAGGACTCTTAACATCGTTGTTGGGCTGAATGGAGTGAAATTCGTCTCCTCGCAATAAGCCTGGTACTGCTTTACTAGCCTGTTAGGGATCATCGCCCTAATGACATTTGGGGTTTCTAGTATCTTTCCAGAAGATAGGCGGAGATATCGCTGCCCAAAAGGAAGATCCTGGATCACGTGCGGGCTAGTTATGTAAGTCAAAAAGTGATCCAACTGTTTATTTTCTACTCTCATCCTAGGACTTTTTGCTCGGGCTGGCAAGGCACCCCGCCCATATTGAAGAGAGTGCTGTCTTGCCATTTTGAACCGGTATTTGGTGATCCCTGGAATGTAGTTTAGGATACGCTTAAACGTTATCAGGTCTGCCATGATTGATAATATCTGACGCCTTGTTTCCCAGGTAGATGCGTTTTGGTAAGACTCCGCCAGTGCCTTTAGATATTTTCGGTCTTCTTGTCGTTCACCGATGCCAAGTACCTTCTCGACTGAGCCAGATTTTTTCACGGCCTCCCAGAGGTAGCCTGCGTCTCCTGGAGCAATAACGTTAAGGCCAGAAACAATAACTGACTTCGCCTTTGACACATGGCTTGCTCTAGTACGTTCGCTGGCTGCCTCCCATCGCTTTTTGTATGACCCGACTGTATGAGCGTTACATGAACGTAAGAAATCGTTCAACAGAGAACGTCTTGTTACTTGACTACTAATTTGTGGATCATCGCCGTTAGAACTCTCGCTGCTGCTGCTCGCTTGAGAGTCCGTTTGATACAGGCTAGTGTCGATCTCGGAGTAGTGTCCTGATTCGTCAAGCTGTGGATGAGAGTATTCGTCTCTTAAGGTCAGCTGGTGCATTGACTGGCTAACGTTGTCTTCAACTTCTTCACTCTCCACATCTTCTCTCTGTACGCGTTAGAAAGGAAAATGAACTAGTTAGCGCAGAAAAATATATAAACTCGATGTCGCCGCTGTAGAGCGAATGACTTTTTTTAACGGCGTACATATCACCACTGCAATGATATGTAAGTGTTCTCGCATCAATACATGATATAAAGGAGTAGTATGCAAGGAGGCTGGGGTCATCAAAAGGGAAGGGGAGGAAAACTCGCCTTTTGCTGAACCTCACTAAACTATTAAAAGCCACTCGGACAAGGTTATAATCTGTTATGTTCATGCCATAGCTATACAATATAGCTCTATCTACCTGTGCGATATTTTGTGATATCCGCTCTTCCGGTTTGTCTACGTTAGATCCTAAAGCTTCTGTGGTCGATTCTGAGCTGGGAAATACTAATAACTGTGATGCTTCTTCCAACTTTCTCCTGCATTGCTTGCAGATTTCTGGAAAAAATAATGGATTGCAGAACATTACTCAGAAAATCTGTGCCAAACTCTTATAGCTTCTGTTTTTGCTCATGATGCTCTTAGTTTTTGAAATATTGCAGCTATGTGTTGAAACTGTTCGGTAACACGTTTCTTGATTTAAAGACTTTAGGGGGCGGGGGTATATCCGATTATGAATTTAAAAAAAACAAAAAATGGCAGTGGAGGAAATTGAAACTGCCATTTTTTTACGCTCTAAACCCGGCAATGTTGTAAAATATCACTACAGGTTTAACACTCACGGGAGCCTACAGGAAGCAACACTTGGGTTTGCTGGTAGAGTAGCTTGGAATGTAGAGACGATATTCCTCTCTCCCCTGACACTAAAGTTCCATGCGATGACCATTCACTGGGAGCAGTGCATATCCTCTTACTTGAACGCCATCTAATGCCAAATTTGTCTCGATGTCTTGGGCATATTGTTAGTTCAAGGTGACTTTCGTTTAACTCAAAAATCCCTTCAAAGATAAAAAAAGGTTGTAAGGTGCCTTTTCCTTAACAATTTTTAGCGTATATATCACAGCGTCATTCACATTTTATTCGCTTCTTCCACGTTTATCGTTAATTTATGCACCAAAAGATAAATCAAAAGATTTATTTTTAATTTTTCTTTGGACGTCCAGTCATCCCAAAAGCAGTTTTTGTTCCTCTCTTTTTTAAAGTTCCTGTGAAACAAACAAGGCTGTAATGCTCGCGATAAATCTGAGATGGTTTATAAATGTAGGCAATATTAATAATTTTTTTTAAATAAACTTCTCAACGCACTGAAGTATTAATGATCAGGAATAAGTTTAAATTTTGCGTGTTCACTGAGAAACACGGAGGCTTTTACTTTTGCGTTTTGGCTCAGCTCAGATGTTCTGATATTGATCTTAATTTGATTAAGTCGGCTACTGCACGGGTTAATTATCACTCATATCTTTGTCAGTAAAATTCATTCTTGAATAACACGCTATGTGTTTTAGGAATATGTCTAAAAATATTTTAGCGTTGTAAGTTGCAATCATGGCCCTTAATTAACGGGGTAAAAATTGTATATGAAATGCAGTAAAATGAGAAGTACACGACATTAAACAATCAAAGCAGGTGCTGAGCGTCACGCTTCATTAAGCCTTCCTTTCAAGTCATTTTCCGCGTTACCCTTGTAACTAAACCTTGAACATCGTCCAGTTTTATTTAGTGTGTAAATTATGGACAATAATTAAAATCTACAGGCTGCAGACGTAGGAAAACTAGTGATGTTTCGATAAATTTGCGGACACCTTTCAAAATATAAAAACAGTCTGAAGGCAGATCACGATGCAGCTAAATTACATTTAGTTTTAGTCTCATACCGATTCTTCTTGATGTAAAAAGATTGGGAGGCGTTTATTTTCCTTTCTTTAAATTATGCGTCTATTTTTTCTTATTTTTTTTTTTTAACGATGGCCTGTTTAATACAGACATCTACCTTACGTACCTGCACGTGCCAACAACAGCTTTGGTTCAGAGTCTAAACTAGCGTCTCGAATGTTGCAAGAACGTAGATGCCCTTGTACGGCTTTTGTACACTTGGCGAGGATCACGCTCTTCACATTTTCCGGATTGTCCACACTAGAACCACATGTTCCTCCTGCAATCTGCCCATACTCACACGAAGCCATTTGCAAGTACACAATGACTGAATGAAGTCAATGAATAAACTGCACTGTACAAATTAACAGGTGCAATTAAAGACAAAGAAGTAAGCCAGTGCTGCCTCTTCGGAATGCGGGCTCTTCTCGATTTACGGAGAACAACTCGATAATCCAGGAAAAAAGATTTTTTTATCAGTCCAAAACAAAAAAAAATTGAACTACCAAAGATGTCCCGACCTCTCCGCGACCATATCCAATCCTGGGTGTCCTGTGGCATTCAATACTTGTTCATGTTGCACGTTCAGGTGATATATGCGCTCGGCGATTTTTGTCAGGAACTTCCATGAATGCGGTTCTTTCTATCCAAGAAAGCATAGTCAAGTACCTCGCACATTGATTTACCTCGCATTTGTTGCCGCATTTGCGTTGTATCAATAGACTGGTACTACAGAGTCGGCGGTAGACAAAACTGACATGTCTGAGCAAACTGTCTCTAATTTCCAATTTTACTATTCCAAATTAATTGCATGGCTCAAAATTTAAAAGGTAAGTATTTCTAAGTAAAAACAAACTGGTAGAGCCAAAAAAACGTCATCACGCAAACAAAAGTCAGAGCTCATGGCGTTTATTTCCATGAATATGAAAGGTCAAAGGTCACTCATAATTGATAAAATGACCTGTTTTGAAATCGCGCTCAGAACTCGCCGTTTCATTTACCCCAATTTTTTTTTTCATCGATGTTTAGTTGAAATGATAATATTTCCTCGTAGTATAGTTTTGTTGGTCAAAGCAATGTACCAGAGTGCTTTTTTAGGCCTTGAATTTAGCCAAAATACTGTTGTTGTAATCACCATTGAAAGGTCTAAAATTAGAAAATCTGTCAAATTTTCACGTTTACATTTTATTTGCATTTGACGACACCGATAATCTGAGAAAAGACGATAGTTTGATTTGCTTGGTTAATCTTTTTATGAAAGGTTTCAAGGTATTAATGGGAGCTTCTTCAAAAGTGCATATTTCGGGGTGATTAAAGCCGGCGTTAACGGCCAAAATTTAAAAAATTCGCTAAAAAATAAGTAAAACCCCAAACGACCCGAAACTTATATTTTTAGAAACAGTTCACCAAGGCCTTCTTTCTGGCAAAGTTTGGGAAAATCGGATTTTTCTATCTTGCATACCCTTAGTCGGTCCTTACAGAAAACCGCTCTTAAAAACTTTTTGACAACCCTGGCCTTGTTTCTTTAATGACACACTCAACGATGGTAACACTTGACAGTGTGCTGTTGGAAAAAGAAGCGGAGACAATATCCAAACTTTTAGAAAACTCGTTAAAAACTAATTATTATCATTATTTCTGTTGTACACATTTTTGGCATGGGAATGGATTGAGGCAGAGGCTACTTTTTACATGCGTGTACATGTTGCCAAAGAGTAACACTGCTGACAGCGTGTGTGGTCTTGCAGTCAGCAACTTGACAGAGAGGCAAAGGGTAGAAAAGCAAAACAATCTCCAGGGACAACGTGGGCACTGAGAAAAAAAATGATGACTGTGAATTCAAAAAAACTTCTTTTGACACTTAATTGATAGTTAATAATTATACGAATAATTAAATTGATGGGACTCAAGAAATGTTTCCTGGTTTTTCTCCGGTTCATAATTATACTTACACTCACTTTTTTTTTTTCACTTTGCCATTTTTCTCACTTTCTCGTCTGTTACCCGCTATTTTGTTTTGTGTTCCTCTTCCTCGTTTTCCCTCCCAGCAATCAACTCGAGTTCCAAAGACTTTTTATTCTCCTTCACCCTCTGCCAGACAACTTCCCTCTTTGCTGCATCACTTTCGATCATATCTCTTGTGGTACTGAAGAGGAAACTCGCTTGCTCATCCAAGAACTTTCTTCAGAACCTGGAAGATTCAGTGGAAACAGATGCCTTCAAAATCTTTTCGGGTGGCGGTGGCGCTGCTGAGCTGAGAAATCTCGCCACTTTCTCATGACTTGCCTCTCCTTGATTCGGGGGTTCAATTGATTCCATGTGTTCTTTTCACAGTCCCCTGAGATTTAAAACTCTTGCCTTAATGGAACGATCCTTGAGAAGGTCTTATGATGACAACTTTTCTGTCACTTTAGGTTCTTCAATTGCTCCAGTCTCAATGTCTTCACTAAATAAACGCTTTAGCTGCTCCGTTTCTTCCACCGACCATGGTTTTCCTTTGATTTCTTCCTTTCTGTCTAAATGAGCCTCATAAATCTTGGCAGTTATAAGAGAAACAAGTTTGTTAACAGCTTTATGACCTAAATCAGTTTCTCTAACTTTGTCATGCACACGGTAATGCCTGGCTTGAGTTTGCGTCTTGTGCTGAGCCAAGGCAGCGAAATGATCTTTCTGATGTGGCATATGTACATGCATTCTGGTCGCAAGCGACCAGTGACATTCCATAACTTGAAATAAAAAACTGCTCAACCTCCGTGGCAGCTGTTGCAGCGAATTGGCTTCGTACAGTTCTTAGGTGCATTTCCATCAGTTTGTAGAGGTCATCATACACCCAAACAACTGCAGCACCATAGACACCGGCGGTTTTCTGATCACTTACAAGGATTCTGTAACGAGCAAGGTCTTCTTCTGTGCTTGGGTAAATCACTGCGGCCTTAAACTCGCTGACTTTCATGCCTGAAGCAACGCCGCTTCCTCAACTATTATCAATCAGTAGACGAGTTATGAGACAGTCTCGGACCTCACAGTGGGTCTTGTCATTGGCAGTTCTTTGAATATCACTGCCGTTATTCGTTTCTTGTGAAGAAGTGGCCAGCTTTTTTATGGCATTTATGCGTTGTTCACCATGGCACACCTTGTAAAACTGTTTACTTGAAATGAGCTTGTTAAAATCCTCGTCGTATTTTTGCAGTTTCCTCTTTAAAACCTTTTTCTTTTGGGCTGCTGACTGTGAAGTCATGAGATCCTGGCGTGCATTTAAGGTATACACGCTCACATCAGACAGTTTAGATTTTCTTTCTTGGGTTAAGAATTTATAGAACAGACATAAACTCATGGGATAAGATATCACAGTTTCCGGCTGATACTTTTCCACAGCATACGACAGCCCTTTTTTCAAGAGATTTACCCCTTCTTTTTCCAGACGCACTAGCAGGTACACTGAAGGTTTTGAGTTTTGAGTTTTGAGTTTTGAGCTTCTTTAGTTAACGTTTCCTCCTGTTCTAGACGACGAACAACACTTTGTACCTGGGATTTGTACTGCTGCACCATTTTTTCTGATCTGTACCCTCCATCCACGTCAATTAACCATGCATAAAATTCCGTCAGCAGTTCTCCAGTAAACTCATCATGGACATGGTTGTTCTCTGTCTTTACATCTGCTCCTTCATCAATGTCACAATCGCTTGAGTTCCAATCTGTGTTGAGCGCATCATCATTATCACTTTGATCTCCTCCAACCACACACAACGTAGTTCCTCCTTTACGTATTTATTGTACTCTCCCACTTATCGCACCAGTTCTTCCGCTGACTCAAGTGGTGTTTTAAAATGTGACCATGCGATAACTTGTTTTCTTTAAACTCCTTCACTTCTTGGAGCCAATCTAATTCTTTATCCAAAAGTGATCCTTTGTCAACATTACTTTCCCTGATAATCTCAACAAATTCGGTCAATAGTTCCTCGCATTTGACGGGAAGAGAAGAGGAGTCGACGTATGTGTCTGATTGACTGGAGTCACTTTAATTAATCTCTTCTTCGCATTTGTAGTCAAGATCCGAGCCAGACTCGTCGCTGTCCGAAATTTCAAAAACTTCTGGCTGATTACAACTGACTACATTCTCCATGTTAGCACCCTCAAGTCCTCCATCACTGTTCTCTTGTGAACCAAGATTCTTCCTTTCCTCGTTGCTGCTTTTACTCTTCTCTTCTTCATAACTATTATTCCATAATCGTCTTGTGAGGTTTTCGTATTCTTCATCACTGTCAGCAGTGGTTTTCATCGCATTATCTTCTTTTCAGTCTTCCCCTCGATGCTTCCTGTTGTTGGATGTTTTCGTCATTTTGTTTAGTGCTCCTCTTGCAAGTGTTTCATAATCTTCTTTAATTACCTTGGCACTCTCTGTTGGGCTGCATGGAATATTATTTTTGACTGTTTCATTGTCTTCATGGTATGCATCATCGCCCTTGTTGACTTCGCTTCCACTGTTGCTTGTCTCTGAAATGGTTTCTTGCAGTCTTCTGTGTTTCAGCTTGTCTCCTTTTTCTCTCTACTGCTCTATCCTGTCGATGCTTAATCTTCCAGGCTGCTTTCTTTACTTTTTTATCAGCCCTTGTGGCTAGTTCATTTTAAAATCCTCATCTTTGAATTCATGACTATCCTCTGGGCTGTATTTAGACCCCATTTCCTCGCATGTTTCGTCATCTTCATCTTGCCAATTAGCCTCCTCGTGACTTTTACTGTGTTTCTCCTGCCTACCGTTTTCCTTCTTTTTAAGTGGGATTCTATTTTGTTGAACAAAGCTGGTGGAGCGTGTGATAGCGCGTTTAAATAAGCAGGTGTTCCTGGTTTTAGTTTGTGAATACGTGTTTGCAAATGTTTGTGGAGTTGAAATATCGGTTTCTTCTTACTCTTGCACGACAAAATTTTATCCTTTGATTGGGCAGCTTCCTTTTTCGAGTTACATAAACATCCAGTTTTCTTTTCATCATTGGCATTTTATGCAGATCGCTTTGATGGCAGCTTAAGTTTTGAATCATACTTCCACATTTCTTACACTTTTTGGATTTTCTTTTCGTGCGACTGGACCAACTGGCAGGTACGCTGGACACTGAAGCGCTTTTATCATCAGCAGCGGTAGACAGGTCTGCTTGACTTGCCATTTCCTTCTACTTCATCTCAATTAGTACTCTAAGAAAAAAAAACATACAAATCTTTTACCACCTGGCAGTCCTCTATATTATGTCCGTGATTGCAAGACACTTGTTGCAAACAAGAAACTGAAATACACAAACGTGTGAGCAGCACCTTGCGAACTGTAGCTGCAAATACTGTTTCACATGAGAAAACTAGCTGAAAGTCATCAGGTAGTTAAAAGCTTGTGAATCTTTTGGACTTGCTGATAAAAACCCAGCTTAACTTTTTGGTTGTAAGTCAGGTGGCCACTTTAGTTTTCATAAATAACGTACCATGTGTTTCAATTAAGTCTCAACGGTTTGGTGTTTGACTTTAGGCTTTTGAATTACAGTCTGTTTTTAGCTTGGAATCACAGTGGTTTTAAGACAATGAAATTGTTATACCACCCGCGAGGAACAAGCTCGCTAGCATGTTCTTGTGCTCTTGCGCTGAGGAGAATGTGCACTTGCTAAGTTTAGCTACTCATGATACTAACTTGTACTTAACTTCTTTTCTGAACTGTCGAGCGGTGAGCCTCGTACAATTCGATAAGAAGCATATAACCCCAAAGCGACTAAATTCCTCTTATCTGTTTAGAACCATGCTGAGAATTTTTAGCCGTTCAATCAGAGAGCACGGAAATTTTTTTGCTTTTCTGGTATAAGGGAATTCAAGGCTAAAAACTTTGAGTTGTAATGCTTGTATGCCTTTCTTTCTCAAGGAGAAGTCAACAACCGAAAGAAAGGGTTCTGTAGCATAAAAGATATAGTAATTATGCTGCTACAAAATGCAACCTTAGGAAAACATAAAAAGCCACAAATCAGTGGTATGGCTTGAAAAGGAAAACAAGCATAGGTTAACGCTTTATCGTTTGTCTGATGATGGAGTCACTTTAAGATGTTGATTGCGACGTTTCGACTGCTATTACTGCTAGTCTTCATCAGGCGATGAGGTCGATTGGTTACCTGTCGCTTTTGTAGCACCCTGGTTTGTTGTCATTGGTTCATTTTGATCCTCGTTATATATTATTTCGTAAAGATGTTGTTCCCTCTCTGGGCCGATTTGTTATCGGACAGTTGATGTGTTTCTTGATTGTAGGTATCCGCCATCTCTGGTTATGTAGATAACCTCATCAACTGTGCGAGTGTACCAATGTGGGTCACGATCAATAAACTTTACCTAGCTCCAAATTAGTGTTGATTTTTGCCATGTGATCAACCAATGTTACTTGCATGATCGGATCCACGATCCAGTAAGTCTTACGGGAAATGCTGATTAGTTATGGGTTTTCGTATAAAATTTTTCAGGAAACAATTTTTTCTGTCTCTTTTTTTCTGTTTGTTCTTTCAGAACATAAGTTGAATACACGATCGTGAGACATGGTTATCATTACATACATCACTTCTGAGAAGATGTCAAGGAATTTTATACAATTTGTACTTTCGGGTTCAGCTGCTAGTGAATTTTATTTGAAAATATGTTACAATTTATTCTAGATAGATAATGAGTGATTTTGTAAACATATTATCGGATGACGTTTTTGTGATATCTGGAATAATCAAGGTTAAGGTATCAGCCGAGCTGAAGGCTGAGGCTGATAACACTTACTGAGACGTTGATTATTTAGAATATCACAAAAACCGAATCTAATAATTTTTTTATTATACATTGTTTTGAAGAAAATAACAACAAACACACCGTCGCATTTAATCTGAATTAGTATTGTTATTGGAAATCATGCATTGTATGCGTAACCTACAGGTTAGTCAGTTATCTGCTAGCAGTTAACTGACTAATTTGTAGGTTGCACTGATTTACAAAATTAGCTGTAGGCTCTTAGCCAGCGAGAAGACAGATGGTGAGTACAATGTGTAATAAAAAAGGTTATTCGCGCTTATGGTCATCCAAGAACCACTAGGTCTTTCGGTGCATGTCATGAGTAGTCGACTTTGTCTTGTTCTGAGGATATTCCGATTTTGGTAGAATTTTATGCTGTAAAAAAGTAATAAATTGCATTTTGCAGTGCATCGTTTACATCACGATACAGTTTTTCTTAAGCACTCGCACGACAATCTCGCTTATCAGTAGTTCCATATTACAGAGTAAAATAATCTTGAATGGTTCCCTAAAAGTCGGTGGTATTGGGATTGAGTTATATGCTTCATGTTATGTGCTTCTGGTTTGATGTAACATATCCTACTCATGATACTAGCTTGCGGGCACTTAACGTCTTTATGGAACTGGTGTAGTGCGTGCCTCATACAGTTCCATGTGACATATCCTACTTGTGATACTAGCTTGCACTTAACGTCTTTTTCGAAGTGGCCAGCGGCGCACGTCATACAGTTCCACGTAACATGTCCTACTGGTGATACTAGCTTGCGCGCACTTAACGTCTTTATCAAACTGGCGGACTGCGCGCCTCATACAGTTCCAGGCAACATATCCTACTCGTGATACTAGTTTGCACTTAACGTCTTTTTCGAACTGGCGGACTGTGCGCCTCTTACAGTTCCATGTAATATATCCTACTCATGATACTAGCCTGCACTTAAGGTCTTTTTGGAACTAACGGGTGATGCGCCTCATACAGTTCCGTGTAACATATCCTTTTTGTGATATTTAGTTTAGCTGGGATAAAGATTGGTGTCTGAATCAGTTCATCCGGCCTTAACTAATTTAGGCCAGACTACAACGGTTTTTGCGTTTTATTTCCGCGATCCGCGAAAAAAAGTTTCCGCAAAAAAAATAATAATAATGTTAATAAATACTACTACTACTACTACTACTACTACTACTACTACTGCTACTGCTACTGCTACTGCTACTGCTACTGCTACTGCTACTGCTACTGCTACTGCTACTGCTACTGCTACTGCTACTGCTACTGCTACTGCTACTACTACTACTACTACTTCTACTACCATTACTACTAAAAACAATGTGCTAAGAAAATTAAAGCAATGTTGTCAGTCCATTTGAAACTGAGCGTGATATTTTAGAAAAGGGCCAAAATGAGAAACCCATGGACTCTGTCTTAATTGCAAAAAATAAGTTTCCCAAAAAACAAAAATTGTCAATCCGCAAAAATAAACTCCTGTTAGTATTTTGTGTCATTCAGCAAAAATTTTTCCCAGAGACAGGCGATCAGAACAGAACACTTATAAGCCACAGTGTCATTTTGATTTACATGTAATTTCAAATTCTCTTAATTAATTAATGAGAGAGTGTGTGGCTTTGAATGGGGAATCACTAAGGAGTTCTTCAGAGTTACGGAGTTAATTTGTTAGCTTAGAGAATATTGAATAAACTTACTGCCAGTTTCTTCATAGTTTCAAGAAATTTCGCCAAACAAAATGCAAAAGAGAAAATCAAGTGTTCCGAAAACTACTTGTTAGGGTTTTTGTTTCAACACATGCATAATAAAACAATAAATGTCAGAGACATAAAAGATACAATAACATTAAAGAAAATCAGCTGGGAAATGTTTATTCGATTGTTTATTGTTTTTAAATGGCTTTTCAGTGCGTGCGTTTTGCAAGTTAAAAGCACACAACAACAACGGAGTTTGTTTACCGAAAAAGCTTATGAAATAAAAGCACTTGACCAGTGAATTCCATGTTAAATTTGAAAAGCACTTTCATCCTCCTCGCTTCATAATTTGTGCGAAATCAGATTTTTCACATTTTCTCTTGTATTAAAGTACTAATGGTTTTTCCTATAGAATCCAAACTGTGGGTTGAAGAAATTATTATAATAATTTATCATAATAGCATGATTAGATTGACTGGAAGTATTCATCAAAGGAGAACCTAAATTGAACAAGGAGGGATGTATCAAGCTGGTTTTCGTTTGTCCCTACTATGCTCTTTTTCATACCAATAAACCGTGTAAAGTTGGTCGGTTGTTTACTGCTGTGAGCATCTTTGTTGTGTTAGATGGATCAGCACGTCCTCCTCGTCTGATTGAGCAAGTTTTAAACTAGATTTTCCCCTTTGTAGCTAATTTGATTATTTTCCTGCCTTACTGGCCTGGTTAGAAAAGTTACAATTCAGTCTTTTCGCCTTTGTGAGCAATTTACTGCCTTTTTTGCCTTAATTGTTGAAATAATTCTGATGTAAAAGTAGCGCTGTGAGACCTGAAAGAATAATATTTTCTTGCTATCGATCCCTCGCTAAAACAATCACTAACCCTATGAATAATTCCTAGAATGGTAATATCCACACCTGACATTTTACTATTGTAAGCAACTTACCGTTAAACTTCTCTTCTCGGGTTACTTCTCTAACATTAAAGAACAGCTTTCAGTTATGATGAAAACAAGTTTTTAACCTAATTGCAGCTGACTTACAGGCCCAAAAAAAGTTGTAAAAGTGTTTGTCAATATAGAAATAGTTCTAGACTGTTAAAAACTTTGCTGAGGTTTCAAGCTTGATCTTAACACTGCTTTGACAAGGGTGTCATTTTAGTGTCAATCAAGCTTCACTTGTAATTTATTCCTGCATTGACACTGGAGTGATTCTCTTAAGACAAGGCTCTCACCTCTCGAGACGAGACACTCATCTTGCAAGGAACACGACGATACTGGTAACTTACTTTTTAGCGGCATTGTATGAACCAAAATGACCACTTATTAACTTTTATAAATGTATGTAGTTTAGTTTTTTACACTCTCATAAAGATACATCATGCCATCAGACCACTGAGGAATGAGCAGCAAAAGCTTTTGCTAAGTATTACTTGTACATGTATATATTTAAGATGTTTTGTCAAAAATGTTTTTGCATCTCTAGGTGATTACGGGAAGCTGGGCCATGGAAACAGTCAAACACATAAGACTCCAAAACTGATTGAAGGGAGCTTATCTGGCAAGGTAAATAGGAATGTCTAAGCTGTACTAGTGTTGGATTCTTTAGAAATAAATATAATTGTTGATACTGGTGAATAATAGTGACGCAAAGTAATACTGTTGGCGAGTGGGGGTAACTACTTGTTGAAGTAGGTGTTTCATGTACAATATTAAGTATTAAGATCAGTAAACTGCTTTATAAGCAATGCTTGGTGTAGAATCAGCTTGAACAGTCTCAGGTTCATTCTACTGCGTGAAATTCAAGTGTGTCAAGCTTTTAATGATTCAAACTGAGTTCGTTGTGTTGCAAAAGGGACAATTTCCTCCGATCTCCTTGAAAAAAACAACAGTAGCAGCAACAAGGCAAAAACATTTTGGCCTAATAGCACGAGTTACAAAATGAAATGATTTATTGGAGGAAAGATCGGTGACGGTGATAACAATAATATTAATGATGATCATAATAATGCTTATATAGTAGTTATTTTGACAGACCCAAACACCCTTATAATAATTTGATTAAGCTCAACAATTTCTTATTAACAAATTCTAAAAGATACAAATGTGTACAGGATGTTGTGTGACCAGGTGCAGGTACTAAAATTTTTCTCTTTGAGTGGAATCAATCAAAGAAAGTCAACCAATTCAACCCCATTACTACAAATTATGGTGCATAAAACTTTTGTCGACAACAATCTATGTACATGTACATGAAGTAAGAGGACATTGAATTACTCTTGTGGCACATGCTCAACCCTGTTACCATGAGAATAATGATAACAATTTAGTTTTATGGAAAGTAATGTTTTTTTAAAATGTGTGTTAAGGTTGTGAGTATGATCATGGCAGGATATCGGCATAGTGCTGCTGTTACAGAAGATGGGGATCTCTACACATGGGGTGAAGGAGACTATGGAAGACTAGGTACACAGTATTTAATACATCAATGTTTCCTGTTGCCACTTTTGGGGTTTAAATTTCATTAAGATTTATTTTATAATTAGTTCCCTTAAAACACCGAGCACTGATTGTTTATAACAATATCAACGGTGATTGATGTTATTAAGGAAGAAGACTTGACTTTGAAAAGTTCATTTTAAAAGTTAATCAAATTTACAAGTATTTAAAGGCACTTAGGAAGGATTGTCACTGCCATTTTAAACTAAGTTGCTCGTTAGATAATTGAGATTTGAGATGGCAGTTTTCACACCTCAAGTATCAATCAACACACTTGGGTTGCAAGTTGATGTTTATGTTTCTCGAGAAATTCTGACAATTTTGGTAAGAAATTAGTTATACAGTTTTTTTTATAACATGCAAGTAATGTACATACTTGGCAGACTTCTCACCTGCTGCCAATGTTCATTTCAAGCAGATAACAGATTGACCGATACTCATGCGAAAAACAATATGGCCATAAGAAGAATATTGGTCCAAAAAATTAAAATACAGGTTTATTGGGTTATCAAGTGATGCATCTGTGCCTACAGCAGATCCAATAAAGGAAAGTAGGGTGTATCTATGTGTACTGTAGCTTTTAAATTGTTTGTTTTCCCGTGAAGGTTGTGGTGATAACAACAGTAGGAATGTCCCCACTTTGGTCAAAGATGTTAGCAATGTAGGTCAAGTTGCATGTGGTAGTGCACATACACTTTGTGTCTCTAAAGATGGACGGACAACATGGTCCTTTGGAAGTGGAGACAATGGTAAGAATAGCGTTGGAAATTAACTGCCACAAACTACTCTTTTGCTTAAAAATTAAATATTTAAGTATGTGTTTTGCTTTTGCTCCAGCTTATTTAGAAATTTTCCAAGTTTAAAGGGTGGAAAAGCGCTGTAGCACTATTTGTAAAGAAACAAAAACTGAATCACATGTTGAGCGTCTAAACCGATACTCTAAATTGTAATTCGTGCCCAGGTTCCATTCAATAAGAGAGAACCTCATTTCTTGCCTGTTTTGCAAGCTCAGCCGGCAAGAAAAACATTTCCCACACGCTGAATGCCATCTGTCTGCCACATGACAATGCAACAGCACTTTAATCGCAAAATGAAAGAGTAAAGAACCTAGGTAGATTTCCCGAAAAAGGAGAACGTGCACTCAGATGCAAGTCTACACAGATCAGTTGTACACGTTGAATATCAAACTGTGGGAAAGACTGAAATAAGCCCAACGATTGAAGCATCTCAACAATGTTTGGAGAGAGAAGACTAATTTTTCGGAATCTGACGAAACTGTCCTCCCTACATATGGAGAGCTGTAGAAACTTGGAGAAGAGCTTGGTCAGTTTCCTTAATGTACATGTTTTTAGCTGTCTGTGAACGCCAGCGGCTGTGACGCATTAGGAGCCTGTCTGGGATGGCCACGGCTGCTGCAGTAGATTGCCCCCTGACCTACGACTGTGAAGGCCATAGTGGTTAGGGTCAAGGCTGATGACTTTGAGTTGGTCTTTGAACTACCTGGTCGCTCTTAAGTAGGTCAGCTGTTTTTGATGGAAGGAATAGCCATGTTTAGCATGACAAATCTTCCTAAAGAGGTAGTCCGATCCTTGTGCTGACTAATTAGTGGGAACCTTTCAGTGAGGGATACAGGACAAGTACGAGAGCCTGTACAGGCCACCAGAATTACAGGGAACCCTCTCTGAATTGGTCGCTTTTCCTTTTGGGTAGTGTAATGGACATATGGCTACTAGTTATTATTTTGTAACAGAATCTCAGATATTTAAGGCCGTCCCAACGAAGAAATGATCTGAAACCGAGGGCAATAAGACATGCTATCTAAAGCTCACTGGGTTTCCCCAGCCAAAGCGGAGCTCTAATTCTCTGACTTGGCCTGCTGAGAGGGGAGTGTCTCGGTCCTTTGGACAGGTCCCCAGGATATGTTTGCATGCTTCACAGAGTTGCTTCACCAATGTGTGTTGTAATGGTGAAGGTAAGCAGGCCTTTCGAAGGGCCTAGACCACCACGAAAGCTGCTGACTGGGTGGGCCCTAATGATTTGGTGGTCTGCAACAAGTGCACAAGGCATAAAGAAAGCTCTGGACCCGATGTGGGGAAGACAATGATTTGCCTAATTTCTGCCCACTTCTGCTAGCTGAGAATGAGGGCATGTATTTCTTAACAATAGTTTGGGCCCTCTTCTGGATCATGATGTTGGGAGTCGCCCAAGTGAGAGTGTATCTTTGGATGGTGACTGTTGTTAGACCCCCCAGGGTAGGATAAGCTGATAAAAAAAGACATATAGAAGCTGGTAGCCCGTAATACAAGGATTAACAAATAGCACTCCACAGCCATACATACGACATTGACAGAGCTGCCCACGAGCTGGTAATGGGCCCTTAGAAGCCAGCATATGTTTCTGGTGAGTCAAATAACCACAATGGGCACAATCTATGAACATACAACTTGCTACACATTCGAGATGTTTGAGATCCCTAGCCTCTTACAGGCTTTAACAGATACTTGCTACTGTCAAAACATAGCATGGTAGCCAAGAACAAACCATAGCACACTGCCCAACACATTGGCCACTTGCAGACCAGAACATATTGGCCCCTCACAGGCCCTAACACATTAGCCTTTTACAGGCCCCCCACTACATTGGCCCTGTCGGGCCATGACAGAGGCCCCTCTCAGCCCAAACAGGTCGGTCCTTATACAGGCTGCAACGCATTCCACAACACATTAACCCCTCAAAGACATGGCTCCTGGCCGATAACAGACTATAACACATTGTACGCTTAAAGCTTTGGGTTTGTGCATGTGAAACGTTAGTAGCACCTAGCCATGTGATCTGAAGTGATTTCGAGACCAAAGAACAAGAACCCGGTAGCATGGTATTCCACTTAAGGGAGAGGCACTTGGTGTGACTGGAAGATATCCTCGTAAGGTGGAATTTGGACCCAATCGGTTCGGTCACTTGTAGCTTCGCAGATCACTAAAATATAAGCAAAATCATCAATGTAGAAGTTTTGGCGTTGATGTTACAACCTACCTAAAGATCTTAAAAGCAAAAGCTTTTAAGATCAGTTGCAAGCTTCGCAGCCAAGCCATGATTCCGACTGCTTAGCTAGATTAGCTACTTTTAATAACCAGTTATAACTGGTCCATGCGAGGGTCTTCATTCAAGCAAATTAAACTCAGCAAACTGAATCATTAGAAAATACAGAAAACTGCACATAAGGATTTGTTTTGCTCGCTTCAGTCAAATCCAGCTCCAGCAATTGTTTACGGGAAAGAGTCGATTGTTTTGGAGTCACTGCCGGCAGTCGCTGTTCTTCGCTACTTTACAGCGAGTGAANCTCAGCAAACTGAATCATTAGAAAATACAGAAAACTGCACATAAGGATTTGTTTTGCTCGCTTCAGTCAAATCCAGCTCCAGCAATTGTTTACGGGAAAGAGTCGATTGTTTTGGAGTCACTGCCGGCAGTCGCTGTTCTTCGCTACTTTACAGCGAGTGAAAGGAAAATTTGCGTACGGAAAGATAACAAAACTATGTAATTAAAACTGAAAAAGTTGAAGGAAAAAAACTCCCACTATTATTACTTGCAACAGAAAAATGATCGAAGTAGTCTTTTCTTCTCGAGTAAGCCTGCTGGCCATCTATAGTTCCGAGACAGTTTTTAAAACTTAAAAGCTTAAAAGCGCACAAGTTTGTTCACTCGCATGCGTTAGCATTACGGTTCTTTGACTGAAGACAAGGATAATGCTGGTTCTGCAAAGGTAAATAAATCTGGGCACGTAAAAAAAGTAACCATAACTACTAATAACAGAATACAAGCGGTTTTAATTCAACCTGGCGAAAGAAGGCGAAGCACTGGACACAAAATCAACTCAATCGAATGCACAATTATTAGAAAAATACAAACCTGTTTGGAAATGTTCAAAACGTTTTATTCCACCTCGACTGACGAAATGATCTGTCTTTACTCTAACATTGGTTGTTCTGAATCCAAAGTAATTTTCAAGTGACGAAAAAACAACAACAACAACAGCAACAAAAAAAAGCCTTTACAAGGAGCAAACGTTCGCACCTCGTCTCTTACATTCAGTCTCAGCCAGAACTCTCACAAAACGAGACAAAGAAACGCAGGATGCGCAGCAGCTTGTGCAAAACGTTTTTCCGCCCTGAAAGGTCAACATTGACGTCACGTAGTCTCCATTCTATCACGCGGCCATTTCAGAAATGTTTTCGTGAAGTCTTCGGAAATGCTCGGATTTTGATCTTTTATCTTTCTATAAAGGCTTGGGAAGAAAAATCTTTACCCAAATCTCACTTAGGATGGTTCTTTTTAGTGTTTGGTGAAGGTAAAGCGACAAAAGAAAATATGTCAATTTTTTGGTTCATTTGACCTTTAANAAAGGTCAACATTGACGTCACGTAGTCTCCATTCTATCACGCGGCCATTTCAGAAATGTTTTCGTGAAGTCTTCGGAAATGCTCGGATTTTGATCTTTTATCTTTCTATAAAGGCTTGGGAAGAAAAATCTTTACCCAAATCTCACTTAGGATGGTTCTTTTTAGTGTTTGGTGAAGGTAAAGCGACAAAAGAAAATATGTCAATTTTTTGGTTCATTTGACCTTTAAGGGACTTCAGGGCTTCTGAAACATGATCGTATTTTCTTAAACCAGCTACGATTCTGCAGGCATAGTTCTGAACTAGCTGACGTTTTCTAACGTTCTTCTTGCTCGTTCTACTCCATACCGTCGAACAATAAAATAATTTACTGAAAACGAAATCATTTATAAGATAGATCAATGTTTTTATATCTAAGAGATGCTTTATCCTATTAACTCTCGTTAGTTTAAACGTACAGTCAGAGGCAGTTTTAGTGATATGTTCGTTAAAGTTAAGATGACAATCTATATACACTCCCAGGTCCATTGCAACTGTTACAGGCTTGTTTTGAGTTCCCAGCATTATCGCACTTGGTAAGGGGGTAGGTAATGTCCTCATGAGTTGTGGGACGCCCACGTAAAGAAGCTTTGTTTTGTCAGGGTTAATGAGCAGCGAATTTCTACAGCACCAAATCGATATTTCTTTAAGATCTTCGTTTACTGCAGAGATAAAGTCGTCAAGTTCACTGGCGGGGAACCCAAGGAAGAGCTTGGTGTCATCCACATAGCTGAGTGGTTCGCAATGTTTTGGAACTCAAAAGAGGTCGTTTACGTATAATGTAAGCAACACCAGGCTCATGATGGATCCCTGCGGTACTCCAACCGTAAGGGGTAAGGGATCAGATACAGTATTCTGAAATTTAACAACTTATTGTCGTTGCAATAAATAGCTTTCCAACCAGGCACACGCAGACTCAGATACACCAGATTTGCGAAGTTTACGTAACGTTAAATCGTGTCGAATGCTATCAAAAGCTTTGGACATGTCTAAAAGAACAACAACAGATATCTTCTTCTGATCCATGTTATTAAGCAATTTATGATTTCCGCTGACTGGATTCCATTTCTGCTTGAAAATGCAAGCTAAAAGTACCAAAGACAGTGGACTCCAAAATCGCATGGCCATTCCGGTTCGCGGCTCGACCACTAATATTCGCAGAGTGCTGCTCACTAGTTTAGTTTTAAAAATTAAAAAGAAAAAAATACTACAGAAAGGAGGAATTTGACGTGTCCAATAGTTAGGAAAATGGTCAACTGTGTGTGGTCTCCACAAGTCATCCAAAGCCGCAAAAATATTTGGGTTTACCATGTAGTCATCCTTAGTAACCAGCCTGGAGAACTCATCAGCCTCCTGGTTGAATTTTCTAGCGATCCATTCAGGCTCCAAACAAATCTGATACTATCTACATAGTATTTAAATAGCGACGCCTTCTGAATGGAGTTTAGGCTTTGTATTGCCTACATGGAGAATGTGTTCTGCCTTCATATTGTCAGTTTATGGCGTACCAATTTTCCAACCAACTTCTCCCTAACCGACAGAAGCACTATTCTCATTCCCCTGAGTTCCCTCCATGTTGAGCTCTACCTGCTCTTTGCCTTAGACCAGCTACCTGCCACTATAGAACCTGCTTCATTCACACATTAACCCCCTCTCAATCTGAGTCACTCCCATCTGAATAGGAGTGGACATCTACTGGGGGTCAACCCGACCTTCCAGATAAGCTGACCATGACAATCTTCAAATTTATCCAGAACTGCACCTCCCTCAGCCCCTCAGAGGAAAGGGATATGTGGTGTGGCCAAAATTCTGCATTCAGAATTTCTCGATACATAGCCCTAGTCCACCCATAGAGACAATTGTTTCTACCAAGCTAGCTAACTGTCGAACTGTTACAGAAGATTTCTGATGAGTTACTAGATCTATGCTTTTATTCAGCCCTTTGATGTGTCGGGGAGGAATGCAAATGATGCTGCCTCTCATCTTTTAGATAAAACAATTCACCCAATTATGTAGGTTCCCAGCAGCATTTGTTAGGGTAAGCGACATAACCACTGGCTGCAATGTCCTCCTTAACTCTCTTTGATGCCGTTCTGACTGATTGTAAGGTCTTTGCAGTTCCTGCACCATCATCCAAGTAGGTGAAAATACAGATACCCTGTTCCCTCCAGTGTTAAACTAGGACCTTCTGTATTTGACATAGTAAAGACATAGGCGCAGACGCTGAACCAAAGGGCAGGACTGAAAACACAAACCATTTCTTTTCCTTGGCCAGAGTCCAACCAAAGCCAAGGGATTTCTGGGGGGAATGTTCACATGGTGGTATCCTGATTAAAAGAACCAATTCCGTAACGTGAAAGTGTCTCTTGCTGTGCGACTATCCTCATAATTAAACTTAGGAATGCACAGAAATTTGTTTACATATCTAAGATCAAGGATCAGTCTCTCCTTAACTGTGTTTTGAACAACAGCCAATGGGCTAACATCATGAACGTCTTAGAATATAGCTAAGCTCTTTGATTTGCATTGTAACAAACTGTTTCTCGTTCAAAGGTGATTCA